ATAATCTTGTTGATATTCGTTCATTTCGAAGTTGATGTTCATCGTTTGAAGGTGGAATTGATGGAAATAAATTAAAATTTCGAATAAATAGTTTTGATTTGTGGAATAATATTTGAATTCGTTGATTGATGTTCATCACTTGAAAAGAATTAATAAAAAATGAATTCAGTTTGTGAAAAAAAGGAATTTTTTTGTTATAGATCTATGGTGGGTGTAGGTCGTATTTTCACCCAAACTATCAGTGGGAATATGTGACTCTATTTAAAATTTTTTATATTTATTCGAGCTGTGGTTGGCTTAGCCCAATCAGATCTCCGATAGCCACTAATGCTTTCTCGATAGTGTGGCTATTTTTTCATCCTACACTCTCCCGCATTCGCATCACACCGCTCATACAAAGGAAATAAGCTTTTAATGTTTATGCTACTAAATATGTTTATAAAACATTATGTGGGAGAATTTAAAAAATATTCCTTCAAGTCAACATACCTAAGTATCCTGTACACATTTTTATTAGTCCTGCGGAAGATTAAACATTCGAGCTAGTTGATATTATATAGTTTCTCACAAATAGAGATAGAGCGTAAAGTACTGTACTCCAAATTAAACATATATGATTACCCTAAAATACAGTCATGTAATGACAACATAATTACAAAGAAGTTTTCGGTATTATCTTACCATTCTGGGTTGTTGGTAGTTCCCTCTTTTTTCTGATAAATTTAACTAATCGTGGTACAATCAGTTTCAACACTGTTATCAAGCCACCAATCAATCCAAGTAATGTAGTAATAATGTAAATTACACTATTCTTTGTCTGATGAGTATAAGTACATTGTGATGGTTGACACGCATTGTAGTAATTCTCATATATTATCGATGAATTCCATTTTTCGACCATCAGCTGATTAACAAGTGCTTCGATTGTTGAGGTTTCAAAAAAAAAGACTTGACAGTGATTTGTCAAGAGCTGTTGTGATGAGTGGTACACTCTTCGTTGCCCATGATTTCAAATCATCTATACATGTTTGATCATAAAAACATCGAAGATCAGATTGAAGTAATGATTCAATTATATAACATCCGGCATAAATACCTGGCACATTGAATGACGCACTGCGGTCATTTCCGGCAATAGAATGATAAATTACAGATTCATAAGCACAGACAGCTGAAGTCGTACAGTTACAACTTCCGTACGATTCGTCTTGAGGAGTTGTTTGACTCCGAATGTATCCTGATGCAGAAAAGTGGAAATTAGTTAAAAGGGCAGTAGATAAACTGTTGCTCTGAGTTGTATCCCGTATCGTAGATAGAGATAACAAGAAGTTATTGGTCGTTGAATTTATGAATTGATCTTTCAGCGCTGAAATTTTTGATTTAAATACATTCGAAGTTGTGACAAATGCACTAATATATTGAGTTGAATAGAATTGAGTCAAACTATTGAAAATCGTTTGATTGACTAAAATACAAAGTGTACTCAAACCTTGAAATGTATTTGCACCGATCGACCGAAAGTCGTCGCCACGTACAAGAGCGTTTCCAAGAAATACAAAAAAAAAGATACTCGATCCAATCTTTGCTGACAAAAATGCTGTTGCATACTTGATGAAATGTATATTGAAGATTAAGAAATGTACCATAGTTGATTGATATTTTTGTGCATGGACATGTCAATGTTTGCGGATATGTTGAATTTAATTGTGAGTATTGTGCGATAGTTGGTTCTTTAATATTAACAGTTTGAGTGATATTAATCAAAGAAGTGTATAAGAGAAGAATGACCAATGATGATATTAAGAAAACGAT